CCCTAACTCTGGTAGTTCCTACATACCGTAAACCCTAAACCCCCCGCCCTAACTCTGGTAGTTCCTACATAACCCCTATACAACATATTCCCATATAAAGGCCTAAGACCCTAAACCCCAATCCCTAGATCCTCTATATCCTCTAGAATCCATTTAGAGGTGCCCCTAATTTTGGGAGTTCGGGGGGGCAGTACCCAACCTAAACCCTAAATAGTAGTTTCCATTTTCTTTTCCATTACTATCCCAATATAAACCCAATATATCATAGTAGTTTTCATTTTCTTTTCCATTATCCCAATATAACCCAATCCCCAAACCCAACCTAAATCCTTGTGGTCAACATATTCCCTAGTTCTCTTCTAACCCCCGGGAAGCAAAGGCCCTGGGTCGAGCCTTCCAGGCCCTCCAACCTCCAGGAAACCAACATCGTCACCTGGGCTTCGCTTTGCGGCTTAGGTTTCAGGGTTTAGGGTTCTAGCCCCCCTTAATAAAGTAGAGGTTCAGGGTATGGTTTAGGGTTTATAGGGTTGAGGGCATATAGTCCCATGAAGTAGATATAAGATGGTGTATATGGGGTTCTTCTTATAATATACCCAAAGCCATATCCTATCTACTTAAGGGGGACTAGAAGGTTCAGGGGATACAGAAGTGATATTTCTAAGCTTCAGACTTTCGGGATGTTGGATAGAGCGAACCGCGCGATCATTGTGAAGCAGTAATTCTGCGAAGAGCAGCCCGAAAATAGACCCCAATTAAATACTAAAATCCTGACTATAGGGACCCTTGAAAAGGTAGGGTACTCCTAATTTTTGGGAAACCCCCACATGGGGCGCTAAACCCTAAATCCTGTATATCCCCTAGAATCCATTCAGAGGTACCCCTAACTTTCGGAGACCGCATGGAGATGGCATGCGCACTGTTAGTGTTAGGATTTGTGCTTGGGCCCTAAAACCTTAATCCCTAAGCCCTCAAATCCCTAAGCCCTCAAACCTAAACCCTAAAACCAAAACCCTAAACCCAAAACCTAAGTCTTGAAGCTGAATGTCTTTTGGATCTAGGTGCAGCGGTATGGAAGGGGTAGAAAGCGGAGCTAAGGCTTACAGTGAGCCATGCAAGAGGCACAAGCCCAACATGCAGAAACGTGGTTGAGGGTCTAGGGTTTAGGATGTAGAGGTTGAGGGTTTAGGGTTTAGGACGTAAAGGTTTAGGGTCTAGGATGTTTACGGTTATTTAGGTTGTCATGGTTTAGGGTTTAGGGCCCCCTTTTAGACCAAAGACCCCCCACCCTGTGACATTGAATGTGTGTCTCCAATATAAGATCTCTTCTTGGCAATTTTTATGTCAGAGAGTTTGGGGGACTATAGTAGGTTTTTGGTTAATGAATCAGAGTTCCCTAAGCCTTGAACCCCCAGCCCTGGAGATTAAGTATCATTGTTGCCCTTCTACCAGACCCTGTGAAATCCTATCCTTCATGGACCTTGTTTTTCACCGTGCATGTGAGCAAAGGCTCGCAAGCAGGATGAGAGATGAGACTTGATAAACTCATTCCTCTCATCTCGTCCCCCTACAACCAGAAACCCGCCACAACCACTAATGATGAAACAGCCCCAGGAAATATCACAGCTCATCTGGGGAAATGGGAATCGTTGAGGAATGGGGTACACTGTTGGGGGTCCCAACAAGCCAATTTTGGAAGGTCCAAGTCTCATAAGTGGACACCATCGCGTATATGATAGACATCCATAGAAGCCAGCCTATTCGCAACGAGAAGTGAGATTTGTAGCGTCCATGATGAGGCTGCCAGGGGTAATTTAGGGATATCGGATAGTAGCATTGAATGTTTAAGGCTGGGTTACCATGTAATGGAAAATCATGTGGAACATGATGTCAAAAACGTCTTTTTTACATATGGGTTCATGTCCATAGGATGCGGGGCCCTAATTGGTCAGGCTTCTATGGCTGCGAGGCCTCATCCCAAAGAGCATGTTGGCCAGACAACATGGGAATAAGGCAATAACGTTGGCGCAGTCGAACTTGATGTGGGGGCATCAACGGGTAGGTGGTCCCAACATAAGCCGCATAAGCCCCTAAACCCTAAACCCAGTTCACAAAACTCTTATAACGGGGCCTCCCACCAAGGGCTCTTTTCGGGAAAACTTTTCGGTCTCCCGGTGGCAGGGGCCTGCGGGCTTACAGGATCCCAAGAAAGGAACCTCCCAGTAATCCCCCAATGTCCCCAACGTAGTTAGGGTTTAGGGTCTAGGAGTCATGTTGGCAGGCTGCATTTTTGGGATCCCTTAAAGGGTCTGGGTTACAAGCTACATCAACAAGGACGCGAGAACGCAAGCAAGCTATTCCAACCCTGAAGATTTGTTGTTTTTTTGTTGCTGCTTTAAAATGGGTATGTCTCAAGATGAGAACTCCCCCGAGACTGCTCCTGAAAAGATGGCAAAGTCTGCATTCGCCCTAAACCCTAAATAGTAGTTTCCATTTTCTTCTCCGTTATCCCTCTATTGCCTTGTATAACCCTATGTAGCCCTAAACCCACCCCCCAAAAAACGGCGCGCCATCCTTCGAGCCTTGGATCCCCCCGGCCAAGAGGCCGAAGAGTGTCCATCAGGGAGAACCATTATAAGGATTTTGGGTTAGGGGGTCATCTGGAGATAATGGAAAAGAAAAATGGAAACTACTATAATGGGTTATATAGGGATTTATAGGGTATATATTGGGTGTATATGAGGACGTGGAGTTAGGGGCTGGATATTTTCTCGGTACACCACCATTCGTGGGTAGGAGAACCAACTAGAGCCTGGGGTTTAGAATGCTGTGGTTCTTTAGGGAGTCTTCTTAACATAAAGTAAGCCCATAGTGCTTGTTGAGCTGTACTGTTCATGATAGATACAGCTTGGGCTCTAACTGAAAGCCTGCTATCTTGGAGGTCCAGTGTCGTAATGGGAGTTTTAGTTACCCACCTCTCAAAGGAGGATCCTCTTCTAGTGATATGATGGTTAGAAGGTACTTCTTCTAGGGGCTTGGATAACCCTCAATATTGCAGACATCTGAAGATCAAATAGGGCCCTCTGAAATTCGGATAAATTTTTTCAGACCCTCGCATTTGTTCGGTCACAAAAGGGGCGCCCTACAAAAAACCTTTCTATTCTCCCCAACCCTAATCCCTTAAATCAAAACCTCTCAAAAGCTCCCAAATTAACAGGTCGATGGCCTGGAAAATGCACACCCTCATAGCCGAAGACGTTCTTCGGGGACATGGAGTAGGTCTTGATGGAGAACATGACAAACTGGAGAAGGCCTTGCGCCCACTTGACATATGAATTCGTAGCCCCAGTCATTCAATTCTGAGAATGAATAAGGGGGCTTAAGGCTCGCAACCGTACACTGCCCAGCCATGGAAAATGGAATGCAGAGCCTACGGGGTACATTAGGGATATCGCGACCAGATTACACCAAGTAATGAAGAATCAAACGCACAACAAGAAAAATGACATGAAACTGGCATTGTATATTATAGTGGTTTACAAGGCTTAGGGTTGCTAAAAATAGCGGTACCTCATGAAAGGCTCTCATCACAAGGACTCTAGTACTGGGGGGTCTAGATAGGGGTCTTCCTGTATATGGCTACAAACTTACCGCAGGGATCCAAATAGCACAAATTCAAAATCCAATATCATTCCTACTTCGTGGACTCGGATCCCCCCCTGAGTGATATCTACGCGAGGATCACAAAATGGAATCTGCGGATTCCTTGTTGGGGATAGGGGCCAGACAAGGAATGAGGATCCATTCCTCTGTTCCGTAATAGCAGGAACTTCTGGGTTAGAAGCGGTCAGGATATTAGCTCACAGCAGGGGAACAGGCTATGGATGCTTCATCTGGATCCCGAGGATGCAAAGAACTAGTAAGGATTCGAAAGGGAATGTTGTTATGGACCTCCCATGCTCGTCTAGTTGTGTTCTTGTGGTAATACATGGTAATACATCCGCCCCTGATCATCAAATCCCCAGCCCCTACTCCTTAACATGCCCCATCACCTGGAACATTCATCATTAGGGAGGTGGAGGGTTCTCTCTGGGGGTAAGGGATCAGCGGCAAGGCATTTTGAGGGTTGATCGGCTGTTTCTGCAGATTGGGAAGGCAATAGCTGGCTTGAGTGGCCCTGCGGGGCTAAGGTCCTCGTGTCAGGACTTCAAATACTTGAGCTATAGTCGCAACTCCTAGTATCCCTCTTAAAAAAACCCTATACTTTCCTATCTAAGCCTATATAACATAATTCCCTACATAATCCCCCTTTTAGGAGTTCAGACCTATAACTCATTTGAGGAAGATCACCTTCTTGTATGAGGCCATGCTTTCTTCACCCATCTTCCCTCCCATCACCATCCCCCAAGCCTGCTCAGTTGAGACCCTAGATAAGTAGTGCTGTGTTGGTGGTTGAACCTAGTAAGGTAATGTTCCTTGTGTAAAATATTATACCCCAAGAGGAGGATAGAATCTTACTCTATAATGGGTACCATACTATCCCCAAATAAGATACTACTCAGATGTTGGGTACTGTCCCCACGCAGTAGCAGCAGTCTATAATAGGGGTCATATTAAGGGCTGCATATAATTACACTGGGATTGTTCCTGATTGGCACTGGGGGCAGTACCCAACCGAAAAGCCCGCTCGTTTGAATCACTGAAACCTATAAGCCCTAAACCTACATGCTCTGTTCAGTCAAGTGTCTGTTCATGGCGCCAACTGACCTCAGCCGTTGCACTGCTAGCCGTCTAGTAGCAGAATCCCACCTGCGGCACCTCAGGCCCTTAACAGTTTGCGGGGTTCATAGTTCCCCTCCAGGAGATAGAATATGCCCTTATAGGGTATATCATTGGCGTTATATGGGGATAGTGGAAAAGAAAATGGAAACTACTATTTCATTTAGGGTTCGGGGTTTCGGGGCTTACTCTGAGGATGAGCGAGTGCAAGAAATAGTGGCAACCATGTTCGGGCCCTGCCCCTCTTCCTACGCAGCCACTATTCTTGGCTAGGTGCGAGTGGGGGGAGTAATCTAACTAACCTAGACCACATGTACGTCAATCTATGTAATCACTTGGGAATATAAGCCCCCTTAAGTAGATAGAATATGGGGTATATGGGGATCTTATTACAATACACCCAAAGCCATATTCTATCTACTTAAGGGGAACTATAGTATCATAAGTGCGGACCGTACATCAGCTCCCCCTGATATTGGGGTGCAGCCTCAGCCCGAAACGCAAAAAAAAAAAACAGAATGCTCCAGACAAAAAAACATCCCCTGTAGGCCGAACAGGCAACAAACCAGCCAGAAATGCCTTCAGCATATGACGGGGCTGGGCTTGGGGCTCTGCCAACTATAAATAAACAAATATCTATATATATATATATGGTAATTTCCCAAAATAAGGGGACCCCAATATAGACCCCAAAATAATATAATCCTTATTGATCCAAGAACTCTCAACCTCTAAACCGCAAGCCCCAAACTCTGGAGCACCCTCAAGGCTAAACAGCCCTAAGCCCTCAGCCCTATAGTCCCCCTTAAGTAGATAGAATATAGGTATATTATTGGGGTTGCATAGGGATAATGGAAAAGAAAATGGAAACTACTATTTAGGGTTTGGGGGTCCATAGTCCCCCTTAAGTAGATAGAATATGGGGGTATATGGGGATCTTATTAGATTATACCCAAAGCCATATTCTATCTACTTAAGGGGGACCATAAACCCTTAACCCTAAATCAAATAGTAGTTTCCATGTTCTTTTCCATTATCCCTATAGAACTCCAAAAATATACCCTATAAGGGCATATTCTATCTGCTTAAGGGGGACTATAACCTTAAGTACTAAACCCTAAACCCTATATTCTATCTACTTAAGGGGGGGCTATAACCCTAAATCCTAAACCCTAAACCCTATATTCTATCTACTTAAGGGGGACTATACCCCTAAATCCTAAACCCTAAACCCTATATTCTATCTACTTATGGGGAACTATACACCACCC